AGTTAGGAAGTATAATAGAATGTCCCCATCCCTCTACTCTCCCGATAAGCAAACCTCGCCAATCGTCTCTGCCCGGTCGACTCGAATACAGCGCATCAAAGATCGGCTCGTTCAGCTGCAACAGGAGTACCATGCCGGCATCCTTGGTGGTGAGGAGACTGATGGTGAGGTTGTGAGGTGATGAACCTTGTCAGCTGAGGAGTTGTCGGAGTCCCTCAACGACAATTCTCTTAATAGTAGCGATATTAGTCTACGTAAAGGCATACGTAGCAATAAGGCAAGTATACAACTGCCCAGGGCCGCGAGATGGTGAAGGGATCAGATGCTGAATCCAGCCCGGTGTAGAGTTTGTGTATGTGGACCATCGGTGTCCTCGGTCTTGTCACGAGAGAAGGTGGCATTGGTGAGGAGAGATAGGGAGAGAGTTGATGGAACAGGTGGGAGAGTATGCACATAGTCACCTACCTATGTTGGCGGGAAAAACATAATTTTGCGGAAATTTTAGGAGTTTCTGGTTGATTTTTGTACACTTCTACGCGAACTAGTATGGGAGCTACTGTAATTAGTGAGGAAACTGCTGAGATCGGCTGAAAGAGGCGAACATATATTCCTCCAAGACTGTTCAGTGGGCACTTCTATTGACTCCTTTGCTCGTCAGTGGCACGACAACTAGCCGAACTGGAAGCTCGAGCTGTTGATGGCGAGGGGCGGTACGAGGCCGCTCTTGCTGACCTCACCAGAAGAATACAAGAAGAGGAAGCTCAAGGTACTCGGTGAGATGCTTCTCGTCAGGACTTGGTTCATTTTGATCAGGGAGTTCGGCATCTCGAGCTGAGGAGGTCCGTGCGCGACTTGATCGAATGGTCTCAGCTAATGCGACGTTACGGGCCGACCTTCAGGAGAGGGAGGAGAGGATAGAAAAGGAGGAGGAGGAAATTCAACGGGAGACCGATCAGGTAAGGATATCTTGGTACGGTTTCATATCATACCTTCTATAGCATATCTTCGAGAAGTGGCATAGCCGCCCCACTCGATGGAATTGACTTTCCATTGCGTGCCCCTGTGAAAAATATTCTGCAGAAGCATATCTTGAGGAAGTGGCATAGCCGCCCCACTCGCTGGAACGGATCTTCCCATCGCGTGCCCCGTGAAAATTGTTCTGCAGAAGAATATCTTAGAGGAGTGGCATAGGCGCCCCACTCGATGGAACTGATCCTTCCATCGCGTGCCGCCGTGAAAATGATTGTGCAGAAGAATATCTTAGGGGAGTGGCATAGGCGCCCCACTCGATGGAACTGATCCTTCCATCGCGTGCCGCCGTGAAAACTATTCTGCGGAAGCATATCTTGAGGAAGTGGCATAGGCGCCCCACTCGATGGAACTGATCCTCCCATCGCGTGCCGCCGTGAAAATTATTCTGCAGAAGCGCCATATCTCGATAACACAATAGATACTGCAATGCAGCCAATGCAGTGACGGTGAAGATACTGGGAGTAATTGAATACAGATCGGGTCCACTAGCTTGACGCTAGAGGATCTGAGAACACAGTTAGGGGCACTAGATAACACACAACATAAGTTTGTGTCAATCATCTCCTCGTATATGAGCTGGCTGGTGTTGGCAGCCGCTATAGTGTATTTGCTCATCACACGAACAGTGGTTATGAACAGTGGTTATGAACAGTGGTTAACGATTGGTATCGTATGTTATAGACCATCGCACTGTCATTGTTCAGTTGAACGAGTCCTTGGCAGCAGCCAATCGTGAGCTATCTGCATTTCTGGCTGGCAGAGGGTTTCAAAGTGACGGAGAAGATCTGCAAGCATTGCGGTGAGTCGCCAGGACAGTGTTGGGAATTACATAGACTTGTCCCATAGCTGATGTACTGCTATCCACTCATCTGTATATAGCAACACTTTTCTATCTATCCCATCCTACCCTAACCGTTGAATAGAGTAGGGTGGTGGTCTCTTCAGGGGAGCCGTTGAGGATCAGCACAATACCAACGCTCAGCTTGAGAGGGAGTTAGAGCAGGTTAGAGGAATGCTTGAGGACGAAACTGAGGTGAGCTGAGCTCAATGTGGGAAAATAAGTATATGATGGGTTATCAGTTTATCTATACCCTATCAACGTTTCAGCTCAATAACCCGAAAACTTGACGGGATACATGAATTTCTGTCGTAGAGAAATACACTAGGATTTCTTGGAGGGGAAACACTCAGCTGAGGTACTCTCTTGGAAGACATAATTGAACAAGTGTGTGCCAATGGCGTGTGCCAATTAATTGTGCGTTCTGCAGTACTTGCAGTTGGCTAGTAGGCTAAACGCAGCGTGATCGGGAGATGTTCACCATCTTATGTGTGTTGATTAAACGTCTCCCCTTCCCGCCCTTCCCTTGACGTTGGGGGACCCGGAGTGGTTACATTTCGGGGTTGAAATGCGGTTGAGCTTTCATCCTCTTGTGTAACCATGTCCGGGTCTGCATACGTGAATCTGGTCTCGCAGTGAATCTTCAGTTTGCGGGCACCAGTTTCATGTATGCCTCTCCCAACCTCAGCGTCTATGGGTTTCCCGGAATCATATATAGATTTGTACCAGTATTAATAAAAATATAAGATGTGATACCAAGGTAAAAATTGGCTTGTTATGCACGTGTTATTGATGATGAG